GGTGGGAGGCAAGAGTGGGAGAGCTGGGACTTTGGAGGAACTGTCCCAAAAGTCACCTGCTGAGAAGGCAAAGCACTGCCAAGTTGGTCAGAGCCGCCTGATGTTGCGTGCTGTGGGACAGCGGCTGCCAGTGAGGTGTAGGCAGCTGCGTCTGATAACAGTAGTAGTTTATTGAGTTGGCATTTGTGATTGTTGGCCCGTGTTTGGTGGATGCAGCAACCCATAACACAGGGTTGTGCAGGCACATTGACAGTACATGCTGCTACGTACCCTAGTATCTACTGAATCACAGACTCATAGAATCATGGAGTGGTTTGAGTTGGAAGGGACTTCAAAGGCCATCCAGTGCCAGGCTGTGCCATGGGCCTTCCTCGCCAGACCATGGTACCCAAACCTGAAGGTGGAATCCAACTAGCTCACCTTGCCCTTCTTATCATGAAGCCAAGTGTTCACCCACAATACATTTCCACTGTTCCACTGAAGTTAAGGACCTGCACTATTATGGCTGTTGAGCACTCTCTCCTGAGGCTCTTTGAAGGTACCTAGCTCCCAGGAGCTGAGCTGCAGGATGGGCTCAGGACAGCGATTAGACACACAGAGGCATCTCATTGAGCATATGGGAGGAAATGAAAAGTGATCTCATTTCTTCCCATGGGTTTTAGAAATAAGAAAGACAGCAAAATTGACTTGAATGTTAAAATGCCTCTCTTCACATCCAGAAGAATACAGTCATAGCAAAGTCATTTTATAAGAGAGCCCTAGGGGGTACAAGTGATACGGCAAATTTTATAACACTCTAAAACATCTATAAAACTAATTATACATGTTATCAAAATGATTCATACTAGCCGTGGTAAATCCCATTCATTACAAGTGAGAGTTTAAGTCGCAGTTTGCTGCCTCTTAACAGCTGCACAAATAGTGCACTGTCGCCATGGGGTTGAAAAAGGGATAGCGTGTCACCTTTCAAATTTCGTAAGAATGTGAGATGTAATTGCATGCTTCGAGACAGAGGCAGTACTTCTGGGATCTGTAACCCAGCTCAGTTGTCAGAGACGGGAAAACAAATAAGCAGAACATAAAAAAGCCTCCTGTGTTAAGAGATGTCTTTAACCACAGAGGCTTTCTGATCAGACCTGTTTCCTCGCCATCCTCCTTATTTTCCCATAACTTGAAAAATAAATAAGGTTAATTTTTGCCTTTGCCTGGCCTGCTGCCAGCCTGCTGAGCATGTCCCTGGAGCAGAGGGGAACTGCATGTCTGCTGTACGGCTCTGCTGAACCCAGCTAACACCGCGGGTCGCCTGCTCAGCACAGAGCTGGCTTGCTGGCGGTGTTTTTCTTAAATAGGGATTAAGATAACTTGTTCTACTTAATCAAATTAGTTATCTTTGATTCAATCGGGTTTTTAAGCCAAATTCCCAGGACAAGGTGGTTTTAGTAGTTTGTTTGGTTTGTAATCTGTTTTCCAACGTAATCTGCTTAATTCTTCTTCTGCATTTGGTTTCTGGCTGACTCAAATGTATGTGTAAAAAGGATATTGGCGGGCTTAATACAGGGAAATAGCTAACTTAGCATCCAATCTCTTGACAGTTCCTCACTCCATCAGTAAGTCATTCCGTCTTCCAAGTCTCTCTCTGGGTCATTCAGGAGTACCAGTCTAGCTGCTCTGAGGGCTGTGTTTCATTGGATTTATTCCTGTTCTTTTCTTCTTCTGCTTCACATTTGTTTCTCTCACCTCCAGCTTTATCTGCTTCATCTCCCATGTGAGGAAAGGCTGAGTAACCTGGGTCTGTTCAGCCTGGGGAAAAAAAGATTGGGGAGAAATCTGTTTGGTGTTCATAAATATCTGAAAGGAGGTGAGAAGCAAATAGATGAGGCCAGGCTCTTCTCAGTAGCGTGTAGCATGGAACAAGGAGCAATGGCCTAAAACATTAGCATAGAAGTTCCATACTAACATGCAGAACTTATTTACAGTGAAGCTGACGGAGCACTGGAACAGGCTGCCCAGGGAGGTTGTGGAGTCGCCTTCTATGGAGACACTGCAGACTCGTCTTGACACCTACCTGGGCAACCTGCAGTAAGGAAGCTGGTTTAGCAGGGGGTTGGACTCGATGATCTCTTGAGGTCCCTTCCAACCTCTGCAATTCTGTAATTTTGTAAAATAAAAAAAGAAAAGAAAATTCAGTTTTTTTTCTGCCTATCACCTACCAATGCAGCTGCCCTTCTGGACACGTTCCTGGGCACCCAGCTCTGGGTGTCCTGCAGGAGGGGGTTGGACCAGGTGACCTCCAGAAGTCCCTTCCAACCCCAACCACCCTGAAAGTCTGTAAAAGCTCAAGTCTTATCACAGCTCTTTCTCTCTTTATCGGGACCCTTTATGCCAACTGAAAGCATTTCAAATTCCAGCCACCACATCCTAGATAACAGGTTGTTTCTGTGTAACTAGTTCAGAAAGGCAGGCCTTGTTTAAATAAACAGGACCTTTGAGCATTCCTCTTACCTTTTCATTGCTCCCCTAGGTTTTTAGGCTGGTTTGCAGCAAAAATGGGACATGCGGCCATGCTTTACCTCAGTTTCCTCCAATATTTTTTGAATCCATTCTTTCAAAGAGATAAAAGTCGTAAAGATGCTGATGGATCTTTGGAGAGAGGAGATGGAGGCATTCCCTCATGCTGTGAACTCCTCTTCGCCAGAAGACCTGGGGGGAGTGATGACCTTTTGGTGCTACAGCTCCCCACATAAGGGGCTTCATCCATGCTCTCAGCCAAGCAATAGACCGTACGTTTACATTTCATTAGCCCTGGTGCTCTGATGAAGTTTTCAAGGGCCAACATTAGTAAGGCACTGGCTTTTCCCGGGAGCTGTTAGAGGTGAGATCTACACAAACAACTGCTTCATTGAGGCCTGAAACGGCGACAGCACTGCGCACATGGAAGTGGGAGACATACATAGGTGGAGCTGGTGGTTTGGCTGCAATCCCAGAATCTTATTTCATCTCTCTCTAAATGCTGGGTAAATGATTGAGTGGGTGAGAAGCTTTGCTTTCCTGCCTGTCTGTCGGAGAAAAGCCCCCCTCGTGCCAAATCCCCTGAGCTGCTGCTTCTAGGGCCCTCCCTTTTAATCTGTTGCTGCCTTCACTTTCACTGACCTGAAATCTGATTTTGTTAATCCTTTAGGTTACCTTCGAATATATTTTCTTTGTTTTCCTTTCAGGATCCAGAAAAGGATTTGAGTCCTCCCTGCCCAGGAATACTCAGCTCAGAAGAAATCCCCAGGATAAGTTCGTCATTAGGAAAAACTTCTCCAAAAATGTGGTTGGGCAATGGAACAAACTGCCCAGGGAAGTGGTGGAGTCTCTGCCTCTGGGGATGTGCGAGAAACTTGTAGATGTAATACTTAGGGCCAAAGCTGAGTGGGCAGTAGTGGTGGTAGGTGGACAGTTGGACTAGGTAATTGTAGAGGCCTTTTCCAACCTTAACGATTCTATGCTTATAGGTTCAGGCTGACCTATCCTAAAGAGAAATCCCACCTGGAAAGCAACCAGTGCTGTCATTCCCATTGTAAATTGTGTCTGTTTAGCCAGTGTGTTTGTGTCTGCCCTTTTGGTACACTGCTATGGGAAGTACATAGGTCTTGGCAAGCTGGTGACCAATTGGGTGACCTAGATAAGTCTGTCAGGGCTGATGTGCCTCTGTCTGTAGCCTCTCTTTTTTTTTTGTTAGTACTGTTCTGGTGCTGTTAGCACCATTAAAAATGTTAAACAAGCAATATGCAGAATACTAAAAGAATTTACACCTGTAATCTGACTTTCAGAAATGCCACAGGTGCTCCAGAGCACAGGAGGTTGGTGTGTTGAGTGTCATTATGAGACTTCAGGGATCCCCAGTATCCCATTCTGGGAAATGGTTGGATTTCAATGGCGAGGATCAAGTCTGGATATTTGATTGTGAGGGCATTGCAGATGTTGTTCTCTGACTGCTACTCGATTTGCATTACAGTCTGTGCTTGATGGAGCGAGAAGCAGCTCCATTTTTATGGAAGCACGTGGGATGATACGTGTTGGAATTTCACTTCAGTGGCTGTTATATGGGTGTTCAGAAGTGCGTAGAAGCATTTGCAGCCAAAACCTGTGAGGATGGGTGGGGTTCACAGGAATTATTTCCATCTGGGTAATGCAAAATGTACTGTAATATAAAAAGTCTTTGTACTTCATTAAAATGAGACTTTCTCACAATTAGACTTGAAGAACTATTTTTCTAAAAATGAGCAATCCTTTTTTTCTTTCTTCTTCTTTTTTTTTTTTTCCCCCTGAAAAGAATCCTAAATTCTTTGCTGACATCCAATGTCTGCAGATATCCCGGAGCAGCCAAAGCCCGCCAGCAGCTACACCAGGGGCAGCTCCCTCACCCCCAGCCGCCCTCCCCTGACGCAGCTCCATGCCGTTCCCTATCGTTGTCACACAGAGCAGAGCTCAGCGCTGCCCCTCTGCTCCCTGTGAGGAGCTGTAGCCACCATCAGGCCTCCCCTCAGCCTGCCCTGCTCTGGGCTCAGCTGCTCTCACATCACTGTAGCCCTCCTTTGGAAGCTCTCTTACATCGTGGCACCCAAACTGCACCCAGTGCTGGAGGTGAGGCCACACAGCACAGAGCACAGACCCCTCCCCTCACCCTTTGGGCCCCTGTGCACAGTGCTGGATCGTGTCAAGCTTGCTTTTTTTTGTTGTTGTTGTTCCAAAAAAGAAAAACAGAGAGATCATTGGGGGTGCATTTAAACCGCCTTTAGCTCCTGCAGCGTGAGCAGCAAAGCCAGACAGAAGGGTTATGTCTGCTCTGCAGGGATGGAAAAGAGTTGCAGGAGCATCCTCAGAGCTGCAGACAAAGTTTGCAAGCAAACATCCGAAAGAGCAGAGGCCTAAATCTTAGGATTATTATTATTATTTTTCTATTAGTGGGAGACATCTCTCTCTTTTGCTTATAGCCTTCAGCTACAACTCTGACACTTCTGCAGAAGATGCAGTATTGCAACTGGAAAGATTCAGAGAAGATTAGCACAACCCCTGTGCAAGGATGAATTTTTTAAACAGAACTTTTAAAAAGCTGAAGGTTTTGAGACAGTGGCACAGCTGCCCAGAGAGCTGTGGGTGCCCCGTTCCTAGAGGTGCTCAAGGCCAGGCTTGATGGAGCCATGGGCAGCCTGTGCTGGTGGATGGCAACCCTGCTCATGGCAGTGGGTTGGAATTAGATGATCTCTAAGGTCCCTTTCAAGCCAAACCATTCTATGATTCTGTATTTAGGCTTCCAAGCATATTTACGGCTGATCTCTGCGCAGCTGGAAGACCTACAGGGTGAATCAGATGTAGCAGGCTGCAACAGAAAGGAAATCACAAGGCTGCTTTTCTAGGACAAGAAATTGTCTGGTTCTAGCTGTGTGAAGAAGCATCATCTGGCAGACAGATACTTTCAGGAATCTCTATCCCAGCACTTTGCCAGCGCCTTGAGTAAGCTCAAACACTATTTATTTGTTGATGAAAGCCACAGGATATGTAATTTATGGCATTCCTGAGATCTTCCTTGTGGGTCCCATAGCTTGTTGAAATAGCAAGAGCAAGTTGAACATACAGGCTTTACGCTTTTCAACATGTCAAGAGAAGTGGTATTTTTCCATCGGAAGGATGTAATTTCTTCTGTCTGAGTCCATCTGTCCCGTTAGTTAAAAATCAGTGCATGAAAATAACTTTTTCATGGAAGGAGAAGGAATGACTCCTTTTGAAATAACGAAACCTCCAAACGCATAGATAGAGACAGAACTGAAGTTGATACTGAAAGCTTCAAATCTTTGAGAGTTCAGCATGGAGGATAGCTGTACAAACATGGAGAATGTACTCTGATGGGGGACTCCAAAGCATTTTTTCATCATGCAAATATTTTTTCAAGTATGTTTTTTTTTTTTATTCACATTCTTAAAATTTCAAAAATGGTGATCAATTCTGACAAACTGTTTGCACTGCAAGTGGTATTTGGTATTTGGTGGAATATTATGGGCCTATTTTAGTAGCCCAGTCAGAAAACTGGTCTCCCCTTGCACAGATGTGGTGCACCCTTGCCTTTTGCTGTTGAACAGCCTTAGTAGAAGTAAGTGTAATGAAGCTGAAGCTGTGAGTTACCCGTGACAAAGGTGCACCTCTGCTGTTGTCTGTATCGATGTGAAGTGGCATCAGGTTGGGCAACAACTTCCTTCCTCTCCTAAAACAAAGCGAACCAAATTGCTCAAATGATGCTTGAATTTCCTCGGGTTAAACTCTGCTGTCATATGTACTAAGAGTCAACAGAAGTGTACAAGAAAGCAGATTTGCAATGTATGAACTAAGATGGTTTAGTATATGCTATGATTCTAAATATTTAGTATCTTCCTCAGTTTGCCAGGTGCAGAGCTTAAGTGCATAAAGTTAGAGGAAAAGTGGTTGTGGAATCAGTCTATACTTTGGCCTCTCAAATATGATTGTGAGCAGAAGTGTAGTGAAAATGACAAAATGACAACTAGGGTCCTTAACGTGTGTGCAGGCATGGCTGTTGGTCTGCTTGGTCAGTGCAGCTGTACCATGTTCCTGCATTTACCACCCATGGTGGGGAGGTGGACTGGTGTTCATCAGCCCTTTTTTGTCACAGCAGGTCTGGCTGAGGTCTTCAGATGCCACCAACCCTGGTGGAGAAATTGCATTCGCTTGGTGAATGTTCCAGTCTGTTCCTACTAAAGAGTGAGAAATTGCAGCTCTAGAAATTCTGGGAGGGATCCACAGAGTCCTGGCTGTACATCCTAGAAACTCTATGTTGTTGTTTATAGCTATTTCTTTTTTTTCTAAGTCTCTTATGTTTACCTTCAGGCTGTCTGGGACATTTGGATTTGTGCACTGAAGCACATTTTTAAGAACTGAAATAAAGGATTTACTATTTTTTTGTCAGTTCTCACTTCGTTCTGTAAACTCTGCTGTATGCAGAATAAACACTTGTGTAATACAGAAGTCTCACCTGAATTGTAACTTTTTGTGTTTGAGTTGAAAGGGACCATTAAAGGCCATCTGGTCCGACTCCCTGCACTGAACAGGGACACCTGCAGCTCCATTAGGTGCTCAGAGCCCCATCCAGCCTGACCTTGAATATCTCCAAATCTTTCTTTCCTGGTGCTGCCACTGAGGCTGCGCCACCTGCCAGGACCACGGCCCTCCATTAGGCCCCCCATGGCCACGTGCTCTTACAAAACATGGCCACTAATCCCTCATTCACCGCCCTGTGCAGAGCAGTGGGCTCCCTCCCCAACCCACCCATGCTTATTTCATCCTATTGAGAGTGCTGCCTCATCGGGCGGAATCAAAACAGCTCACGTGCAATATGAAGAGCAAGTGGGTTTGACCAGTGCTCACACCAAAACTACATATGGATTAAAGCGCGCCCTGCCAGCACAAAGTGTGCGTTGTGTGGCTTTGCTGCGCGATCCCCAGCCTCAGCTCCGTGGCTGTAAGAAGCTGCACCCTCGCTTTGAGGATAAAACAAAGCAGCAGTGTCTGAAATGGAATGTGCTGCAGGTAGCGAGCTAAGCCTCCATCACCAAAGGCAGCGGGAGGATTAATTAAGCGCAAGAAGGCTGTTGCTTGGAGGGACTTCAGAGGAATGCAAACCGAAGGCCCTCAAAGAGCCCACAACAAAGGGCAAAGCCATGCGCGCTGCAGCTCTGCCAGGATGAGCTCTGTGGGATTAAGGGCTTGGTCTGCCTTGCAGAAAGGGAGGAACATCGCTGCCCTAGAGAGCAATGTGAGCAGGAAACAGATTTTCGGGTGGTTTTTCCTTGGTAGGGTGGATTAAAAAATTGCAGCCTCGCTAATGACATAAATGCTGTATCTGATACAATCAAACGTGTTTGAAAGTCTTAAGATCACATGTAATTTGTTTTGAATTGTGGTTTGCTTCCAAATAGAAGACCATAAGCACCTGTTTCAATCCTTGCTACTTTCTTGTTTTTAATTCTGATTTTTTGTGTTTGCCAGGGCCAAACCACTGTGACCCTGGTAGCACTGGCACTCCTGGAGCTGCCTTTAGTGGTACAAAGGGGCAGAGGGGAGACAAAAACTTCTGTTTTTCAGGTATTACAGTCAACATTTGCATGGGATCTACATGCCTGTGTGTAGCTGAAGCACCTGTACTGCTCGGCTTAGCTGTGGCTCTCAGCACAGCTCCGTGTTGTATGCATTCACACTCAGCTTTCCACATCAAAACCCTAACTTTTCTGGAGCAAATATGAATCTTCACATGTGGCATGAATCACGCTACAGAGCTCCCCACGCCCTTCACTAACTGTTCTGTATTGAATTACTCTGCTTCAGGTACGTGCCTTATGTCCAGTTTGGAAACATTCAGTTTCTCCTCCCAGAGATCTGGAGATCTCCAGTATTCTTTCCACACAGACAGCTGTAAGTGAGTAAGACATAAACAGACTCATTTGAAAAGCTAAGTTAGGCTGTAAGGAGCTGGGAGTGAAGGAGGCTTTCTAACAGCATCCTGGAAGGATATTCATTCATGTTATTCCCCGACAGCCACAGCAGAAGATGAGCAGGAGACCACTCAGGAATGCAGCACATGGGTACAGTCACATAAGAAAACCTCATTGTTCTGGGGAGCTGTTTGCTGGGTAAGCTCTGAATTAAGGATGTAGCAGACTAGGAAATGTGATAGAAATGTACAGAAAAGAACTAATTTTAAGTTTGCTGGAAAAAATGAGGCCCTTCTGAGGATGGAGGGAAATAGCCTTATTGTTTTCTCTCAGTCATTTCCATAAAAACCAATAGTGCTAGAAATTGTCTCACACAACAACCTGGCTTTTTATTACCTACCATTGTCTGGATTCAGCCACAGCTGCTTCTGTCTTCACTATAAGAAGTCAGGCACCTTTCCTTTCTATCAAGTAGCAAATTACATGCATGGTTCTTTCTTTTCACACAGAGGGTGGTGATGCAGTGGAACAGGTTGCCCAAGGAGGTTGTGGATGCCCCATCCCTGGAGTCATTCAAGGCTGCATGTGGCCCTGGGCAGCCTGGTCTGGTGATCAGCAGCCCTGCACACAGCAGGGGGGGGGTTTCAACCCAGGCCATTTCACAATTCTATGACTCAGTGACTCTTCTGAGCCCACTGCTCACCAGTCAAACTACGGCACCCTTCGCTTGTTTGAATTTGTGTAGACTTCCCCTTCATGGCATCCCATTTCTGTAGCATTTTCCTGAATCTCCTCAAAATATAAACCTCCTGGAAAGTTCTCTAAAACGGCCGAAACAAGCCCAGGTAATTAGTCTTGGCTATCAATAATCCCTCTTCCTCCAACCAAGGTTTGAAGCTTTTTCTGCTGTGAGGCAACCCTGTCTGATTGCACTGTCTGCAACACACTGATTGCGTCCTTTGCATTTCAGAATCACAGCTACTCAGTGTTTAAGTACAGCTACTCACTTCATTATCTAACTTGTCTAGCACTCTACTGCAAGAATACTTTGTTTTCTTCTCAGTACTGGTTTAATTTCAAAGTCATAGGAGGCAATCTGTGGTGCCCACCAGCTTTCTTTTTTACATTTCTTTCTCAATAGGTAAATTTTTGAGCTGACCTGGAAGTACTGCGTCTTAAACCATTGATGTTAATTTACTGCTTCTGCACGGTCCTCCAAGCCTACAGAACGATGCTACCATTGAACAGCAGGCATCTCAAGGCAAAAATGTACCAAATTGTTCTGTAATTTTAATAAAATTAAATTAATATGGAATTGTGATAAAAATAATGGAATTGAACACTGACTTTGTTTAGAATATTATTATTAATCTGAAATCATAGAATTGCAGAATCACAGAATGGTTCGGGTTGGACTTTAAAGACCACTCAGCTCCAATCCCCTGCCGTGGGCACAGCTGCCACACACCAGATCAGGCTGCCCATGGCCCCATCCAGCCTGGCCTTGAATGCCTCCAGAGATGCAGCCCAGAACACAGTTGGCCTCCTGGGCTGCAATCGCACACTGCAGGCTCGCGTCCAGCTTCTCATCCACCAGGAACCCCAAGTCCTTTCTCCGC